CTTAAGGATAATTAAGGCTAATTCTTGAGATCCAGCAAGAGTATGTGTTTTAAGGTAAAGAAGTGAAGTTTGAAGGTAAATGAAACACAGATCCTTATCAAAAAGGCTTCAAACAAACAAACAAACAAACAAGGCTCTGGGAAAATGTATCTTCATTTCTGATGGCTAGAATTGGCCTTTCACTGTGGCCATTCCAAGCACACCAGGCTTAACTCTCTATGCAAATATTGATGACTCCAAGTGAAAACCAAGATCCGTGAGAATACAAAGCCCTGGAAAGATGTAAGCCAGCCTCAACAGCATCACATATAATCAGTTTTATTGCCAGGTAAGAAATTCATATTAATATAGTGAATACATATGTTTACAAATAAACATTCTTAGAAAACAAACAAATGTTTTGTTGTTGTTTTGTTTTTCTTCATTGTAGGAAGTATTGTTGGAATCATAAACTCTGCAGTTATTGACAAGTATTAACACAGATTTACTTGCAGAACATACGGTTACTAAAATATTTGCACATAAAATATGCTCCATTTATACATACACAAAAAAACCTGGGGGGAGTTAGGTGGGGATGCCAGGCGGAGCCCAAGGCAGATGGAGGCTGAGACACTCTGGGAGAACAAAGAGAAGTCAGACAGTGGTCCCTTTGGGTTGAAAGTTGGGGACAGCAAAAGGTAAGAAGTAGAGGTTAGTGTCAGGGCATGGGATGGGGATAGGCGTCTCTGATTTGTTTTGCTTTCTCTCTATTCATTGTTTCCTCTTTCACTAGAGGATGCTTTCCTTGGTACATGACATAGATAGGCCCATAGGCCATCGCGATTTTCAATATCATAAGGTATCGCCACCTCCCCTAGATGTCTAAGAACAAGCAAACCTTCCCTCTTCAGCCCTCACCCACTTTGTTCAGCTCCCAAAGCCAACTGGAGGGTAATGAGGTTCACAAGCACTAACATTCTTAAAGGAACCCTGGTAGCATAGTGGATTATGAGCTGGGCTGCCAATCACAAGGTCAGCAGTTTGAATCTACCAGCCGCTCCAGAGAAGATAAGGCTTTCTGCTCCCATAAAGATTTTCAGCCTCGGAAACCCCATACAGGCTTGCTCTGAGTCGGAACCGACTCAGTGGCACACAACCACCACGAGCCCCTTCTTAAACACTGCACCTTTACTGCCAACATTGTCAATGCAGACCGGAAGTAGCCAAGTTCAGTAGATGAAGTTCACTCAGAAAAGGAGGAACATGGCAAAAAAATCAAATACTATAGATCCAGGAACCAGGAAAGACCAAGAAATCAGCGTTGGGATATGAATGAAGATGAAGTGGGCGAAAGCCAAGGATCAAAGCTGAGCCAGAAACAATACTGAAGGACAGAACTGTGAGCTGGAGGGAAAGTGATGCATAAGCCCACCCAGTATTTCCTGAGGTGTAGGCTGTGTCCCCCTGCTGTATGTTGTTGTTTACAGTGCCGTAGAGTTGGTTCCAACCCACTGCGACCCTGTATAGAGTTTCAGAGGAGTGGCTGGTGAGCTAGAACTGCTGACCTTGTGGTTCAATCCCACCTTTGCAGTCCAGCGCATGAACTCACAGCGCCATGCTGGTGTATGCAGAAGGTAGTAAATGCATGGATACAGCACTAATTAACACTGAGTTAGACAGGAAAGGAATCCATTTTCATTTAAGTTTCAATCCATCTGATTTCTTCACGGGAAAGTCTCCATGGGATGCCAGGTTGTCTTTAACACCTGTTGCTGTTTTGGGTGCCACCAAATCAAATCAGACCCATAGTGATTGAAACTGTCCTTCGAGGTTTCCTGGACTGTGATAGTTACAGAGACGAGTCACTGGATCTTTCTCCTGTATTGCTGCTGGATGTCTTAGAACTTACAACCTTCTGGTTAGCAGCCAAACACTTAACTGTTGCCACTCAAACCAAAATCCAAACCCAATGCAATCTAGTAGATTTCGATTCACAGCTCAGAACAGAATCACCTCTTAGCGTTTCTGAGACAGTAAACCTCTATAGGAGCAGACAGTCTCATCTTTCACTACACAGAATGGTAAGCAGTTCTGAATGGCCAAGCTTCTGGTTAGCAGGACCAGCGCTTAACCCACTGTGTCTCAAAGGTTCCTTTAGTGTGGACTGCTAACTGCAAGGTGATTGAAAACCACCTGTCCCTCCTCATAACCCCTATAGAGGGTCGCTGTGTGTAGGGACCAGCTTGGAAGAATTTCACAACAATCTCTCGTAGACAGAGAGTGGACGAGAGGCAGACTTCCAGTTCAGACCTTTCCACACCCAACAGTCTCTGGCTTGAATTGAATAATGCTGATTTATTTTCTTTGTAATTATTCTCATGCTTACTATCCATTTATGGCAACTGATGCTGGTTTTCTGTTTGTGATGACAGCAGTTTCGTCTTAAAACTTCAGTGTGTTAAAAATGAATCTATTTGAATCCAAATGTCATGAAGGTGACACACAAATACACCCAGTGTGTGTAGCATGTGTGTAGCATGTGTGTGGCATGTGTGTGGCATGTGTGTGGCATGTGTGTGGCAGGTGTGTAGCATGTATACAGATAACTAAGGTCAAGGACACACTGACTATGTCCCCTGGTGTTTACTCCACTGAGAGGAGTGCTGGACTTTCAACAGCTCACCCCTCCTTCGTGACATACAACATGTCTCTGTAAATGGGGATCATGTATAGATGTTATGGTTTAAAATGGGTAAAAGTTTTACTGTTTCAGAATGCTGGATCCAACCCCAAATACCCATGTTTCAAAAAGAGAGACTGAGGCCCACAGAGACAGCCTTACCAGTATGCCTGGACCATCTGGGAATAAGGAGAATTAACACTTGATTTCCCTGAATCCATGATATCAGGGGGAAAAAGGCAGGCAAGACTAAAGGAGAGGAGACCACTGGAGTTGGGGGTTCTAGGGTTACTCCGAGTCTTGCAGCTTCTGGATGCAGAGAAGCTGAGAGTCTCTTAGCTGTTCGTCTTCATTAGCTAAGACCCCAGTTGTTCTGAGGTGCTTTCAAGTTGACTTCAACTCATAGGGACGCTATGTGACAATGTAGAACTGCCCCATTGGTTTTTCTAGGGTGTCGTTTTTACGGGTGCAGTTCATCAGCTCTTTCTCCTGTGGACCTGTTGCATGAGTATGAACTGCCAATCTGTTAGCAATGAAGCGCTTAACCATTGTATCACCAGAGCTCCTTACCTAGGACCTGTAGGGACTGGTTGAAAGCTGCCCCCTTAAATGAAAATCTCATCTCTGTCAGCTCCCTTCCACTAAATAAACAGAACGAGTAGGACAATGGTCTTTTGGGGACAACCATGGATTCCTGGAGATGGGAAACCAAACTTAAAAACCATTTGGGGGAATTCTGGATGGGGTTCGAATATGTTGCTGTATCCTCTGCTGAGGAGGTTTTGGGGGGGCCATGGGATTTGGAGGGACCATGGGAATTACAGGACCCAGAAATGTACAATATGTTTGGGGACTAGAAAATGGTAGGACTCACGGGTTGTTTATAATATGGGGGGTGGGGAAAAGGTCTTCGTCCTTGGGTACCCCTGACTTTACAGCAGCCCCCTCAGCGGGTGTGAATGGGTGGGCTCCCCAAGGAGAGGCAAGATGGAAACACCTGCTAACTGCAGAAACACAAGAGGAAGGAAGGTTAAGTTGGGAAACAAGACTGTCGTGGAATAACAGTAACACATTGAAGGCACCACCCACACGAAGTCATCTTCAGTCCAAAGCAATTGAAGTTGGGCAGCTGGTAGCACAGTGGTTACGAATCAGGCTGCGAACCACAAGGTCAGCAGTTTGAAACTACCAGCTGTTTCGCGGGAGAAAGATGAGGCTTTCTGCAGCAGCGGCAGCAGCAATGCACTGAAGGGGAAGGAAAGTCAGGGACAGACAGTTCACAGACGACTTGTTCCAATGTCTGTTTCCTGTCTCGGAGGCGAGGGAGAAACGCTAGAGATTCAACACTTGTGTCTGGGTCTGTCTCGTCTCCTGCAGACTTTTCCAACTATGGGTTTTCTCGTTATTGTTGACGTCATTGCGAATTGTTGAAGTCTTCAACATCTTGGACAGAAATTAAATTGCTGTACCTGTTTCAAAGTGAGAGGATCATTTGAATTTGATTTTTTTTTTCCCTTTAATATACTATGGACCCTTTTTCTGCCAAAGAAGTCCCTCTCTCCCACATCCAGGACCATGGTCTTTACAGAAGACCTCTCTCTAAAATATCCTTTCCTTCCCTATCTCTCTTAGTGGGTTCAGGGTCATGTTCATTTTTACGAGTTCCTGTGTGTGTTGTTTTGTTTTTATCTCTCTCTCTCTCTTTTTTTTTTTTTTGCTTCTAACATTGATGATATGAAAAGGTCTGTAGACAGAATGGTTGGGATCCAGTGACTATCTCAAAATTGTGTGTCCTCAGCTTCTTGGGATTAGAAAGTGCTTTTTATGTACACACCTTCCTCCCCAAATAACTCTTCTTCCGGAGTGCATTCTTCTCTTGTATACATCCTTACTTCCTCTCCCCTATCACCCCAAAAACAGACAGTGCACGGCCAAGGGTGTATGTGCTCAAAATGGTCCATTTCTCTAAATTGTGCTACTTCTGTGTTTTTGTAATTTCATCATGGATTTCAGAATCCAGTTAGAAGAAAACTTAGCCCCATAATTTGGGCACATGAGCTGGCCATCTTGGGTCTGAAGTCGAAAAAGTGTGTCTCAGTCTCCCCTCTGCTGTATTGCTGAATGTCCATTCTTCAGTCTTCCTCAGCTGCCGGCCGACACGTGTTAGGCATGACGCAAAAAAAGCGTGATTCCGTGTCACCAATAAGTCCTTAATAGGTTCATGTGGAGAGTGTGGGGGGAGCGCATGTGTGGGCGAGGACAGGGAGGGTGTGGGCTGGGATCTTTTTTGCCTCTCTCAGTTGAATGTGGTCTCCAGGATGCTCCCTGCAATGAAAGCTCACACAGTCACCTCTGTTTTGCTGTTGGTGATGAAGTATGGCTGTGGGGGTGGGTAGTGTGGAGTACGAGTTCCCAAGGGGTCGCTGGAGCCCGACTCGGCCGTGCCCAGCTTGCCCTTGTTGCCATAAGCCTGCCGTCGGAGGGACTGCTCATTGGGGTCCCAACCCTTAAAGTTGGCGGTGGTGGAGTTGTAGGCCAGGGGATGTGCGGGTATCTTACTGACGCGAGACTTCTGTCCATTCTGTTTGGCGGGACCGTGCTCCGGGCTGAAAGCCCGCGGCTCTTCCTCCACTCTCACCGGGTGAAGAGGGAGGTTCCCCTTGGCAGCCAGCTCAGCCAGGTGCCGTCGCTTGGAGTAGAAGTCATCATTGACCTTGTCGGCTGTACAGGGGAACAGGTAGATAAAGAAGGGAAGGAGAGAGGAAAGAGAAGGAGTTAAAGACTGACAGATAAACCAGAAAACAGCACCACAGTGAGCCAACAATCCAAGTCAGACACCCACTAGAAACTGCAGGTGGATCACAATGAAAGGAAGAACAGTGTCATGTCTAGAGTCAAGAGGGTGAGGACATTCCCAATGGGATCTCTCCCCACTGCCACTGAGCCAATGCCAACTCATGGTGACCCCATGTGCTACACAGTCAAACTGAACTCCACAGAGTTTGCTGCACTGTATGTAACCTTTCCAGATCAAAAAGATCTTCCAGAGCACAGCAGTTGGGTCTTAACCACCAAGCTTTTGGGGTCAGTAGTCAACTACAAACTGTTTGTGCCAACAAGAGAATCTCTTGTGTTTGTTGTTAAATACCATCGAGTTGGTTCTGACTCCTAACGACCCTGTATAGGGTTTCCAAAGCACAGCTGGTGGGTTTGAACTGCTGACTTTGTGGTCAGCAGCCCAGCTCCACACTATCTTTCAAGATAATCACTTCTCTGAACACCTGTGGCTCTGTGGTCTGGTCCTTTGTTTTCTTACTATTCTTTCATTACTGAAAGGATGCATTCTCGTTACAGAAACTACTGAACATGTTGAGAAATACTCCTAGGAAGCATCTACTGCACTCAAGACAGCACATATCAACATCTGGGTGTATTTTCTTTGGGTCTTCCAAGTAATAAGAGCTGACTTGAGTGTTTTCATTGGTCTGCCTGCTTGGTTTGGTTTATGCTTTTAACAGGCACATAGATTGATTCATGTTCAAAACCCAATGTTGTAACCTCCCAGTAATAAAACTTTGACTAAGTGACTGAGATTCTATTACCATGGATTCCTGCATCTGGAAGGTCATTACAATAAAACAAGTGTATTTCATAGGGTTGTTTGAAGAGCTAAAGATGTGATGCATATAACATGCTTAGATATTAACCACCACCACCATCACCATTGTTGTTGCTGTTGTTAAGTGCCATCGAGTCGATTCCGACCGATAACGACCCTGTACAGAGTTTCCAAGGAGCAGCTGGTGAGCTTGAACCACCAACCTTGCCATTCAAACGACTTTGCAGTCTGACGCCTTAGCCCACAGCGCCACACCAAGACTGGTATTGTAAATAATCACCTCCACTTCTCTTGTAGCATTTCATCAAGCACTTTCCTGTGTTACTATATATTATCAAGGAACAGCATTTTGATGTCTACAATATTCCACTGAGTGGAACTACACTGCCAGAACTCAAATGAAAGTTAAACAATAAATAAGGAAGACAAAAGAACTGATGCATTTGAGTTATGGTATTGAAGAATATTAAAAGTACCACGGACTGCCATAAGAACAAATGAATCTGTGTTGAAATGAGTACCACCAGAATGCTCCTTAGAAACCAGGATAGTGAGACTTTGTCTCTCATACTTTGGAAATGTTATCAAGAGGGACCAGTCCCTGGAGAAGGACATCATGCTTGGTAAAGTGGAGGGTCAACAGAAAAGAGGAAGATGCCCAACAAGATGGATTGGCACAGTGGCAACAGCATTGGGCTCAAGTTTAACAACAATTGTGAGGATGGCATAGGACCGGGCAGTGTTTTACTCTGTTGTGCAGAGGGTCACTATGAGTCGGAGACTACTCAACAGCACCTAACAGTGACAACCACCAGAATTAATCCACCTCCCTACTGTTGAACACTCAAGTGGCTCCAATGTTTTACTAATATAAGTAAGACCAAGATACTTGTCTCTTGACCTAATGATCTCTCTGTATTTAGAATTTTAAACTTAGGATCACTGAAAAGTTTATTTTCTCAGTCTACACCAGGACACAGCAAACTAGGACCCACAGGCCAAATCTGGTCTGCTGCCTACATTTGGAAATAATGTTTTATAGGAACTGTCTATGACCGTAATCATACATGAGAGGTGATGTCTTGTGACAGAGACTGTATGACCACAAAGCCCAAAATATTTACCGTCCGCATCTTAATTTTATAAGTTTGCTTACCCTTGGTCTAGCTGCCTTTAAGGAGAATTACCTGGCGAAATGATACAGACATTGTTAAAACTGTTAATACACAATGCCATCTACTCTCCAAAAGGGGATCCTAACTTCCCCTCCATATCCATCTACCACACTGTCCCTAGCACTGGATGGCTGAATGAAGATTTGCTCATTTTGGGAAACCTCGTTTTATTTTCTTATATTTAACTTGCTATCCTTTCATTCTAAGAGCCTCTAGACTTTTAATTTCATAATCTTATACCTGTCAATCTGTGTCACTCAGATCAGAAAAATGTGCTGCGCTTTCTGCTCCTGCAAAGATTGAAAGCCTCTGAAACCCTACACAGAATGGCTAAGAGTCAGAACCAACTCAACAGCACTTAACAACAACATCAAACTACTAGAAGTCCCCAGATTGTGCAAATCTCTAATGTACTCAGTTGCTAACTAGAAAGTTGGGAGTTTGAGTCCATCCAGAAGAACTTCAGGAAAAAAGGTGATTTACTTTTGAAAACATCAACCATGGATCCCAGTTGTATTCTCACTCACATGGAGTCACCAGGAGCGGAAATCAACTCCATGTCAACTGGTTTTTCAGTTTGTTTTGCTTTGCTTTTATGCTACACCATGAAGTTTGGGCAGTAGGTTAGATAGCAGAAAAAGTAGTGATTCTAAACAGCATTTGCAAAAGTCCTGAGAGAGAAGAGGTACAGTAGCAACAAGAAACTGAAAGGACATCAGTGTCATGAAGTGAAGAAAATAAGAAGGCGACAGATCACCCACTGTCCTATAAGTCAGATTGCACCGTCCACTTGCTCTCCACTAGACTCAGGCGTCTTAGAGATATGCTAGGTGAGCACAGATTTGGAGCCTGTGGTATGAAACAATCTTCCAAAGAACTATTTTCAATATAGTATCAACATCATGGGAGTTGGAGGTCAGGTGGGTGAGCGGCTGCTGTCACCAGGAAATAGAATTTTCATGAAGCTCTCTCCCCACGGCACTTCTGGTTGTGTCTGAGTTGGATTTGGAGGAAGAGAATGACATGCACACCTGGCCATTCTCTGCTCTCTGCAGTGTGGTCCCTGTCTTCATATTTTAAAAAGCTCTGGATGAAAGAAATAGTAGATTCACTCAACAGCTCTGTAAGCCCCATTAATAAATGCATTAACCTAATCAACCCTGGTACCTCGTGGGCAGATGGCTGACAAGCCAACCAGGAAACAGATGTGTAAGTCTTTCAACAACACTCGTCCTCTCGGTTTGATTTTTCTTCATTTGAAAAGAGGAAGGAAGGAAGAAAAAGGTGCTTCCTTTCCAATGCGCCTAATTGCCTTGAAGGAAACAGGACTGTAAAATTAAATTGTACCGGGCCCCATCTGTCTCTCTCTTCATTAGCCGCAGACACTTATACAGGTGTGGGGTGGGATGGAGCCTTGCTTCCGTGGAAACGGAGCGAGTCAAGGTAATAACCAGTTTTCAAAGCAAGTTACACATCTGAGGGTCTTGGCAGGTGGTTTCCCACCTACCTTCCTTTGTTGGCCCAAAGATACCTTGAGGAAGGGTCCCTACTGCTCCGTCTTGCTTGGTGATATTCTTGGATCTCAGGTGATGAATTTCATCCGGTGAGTCATGTCCCAACCAACGCTTCCACCACCGCTCGCCCACCTCTGTCTTTGACCCATCAATGCAAGCAAAGGAAGCAATCAATCTTCCCATCACACTCAAGAATAAGGTCCAATTCCTTGCACTGATCTACAAGATCGGCCTTACCAGGACTCTAGCTGCCTGTCCACCCTCACCCAGGGCTCCTTTCTGTTCCTCAGCACATCAGACATGTCCCCATCTCAGGGAACTTGGGACTGTCCTTCTGCTTTTCTCTTCCAAAAGCATTCTTGCTTTGGGTTGCCTATAAGGAGCTCTGGTAGCATAGTGCTTATGAATCGGGCTGTGAACCTCAAGGTCAGCAGTTTGAAACTACCAGCTGCTCCATGGGAGAAAGATAAGGCTTTCTACTCCTGTAAAGATTTATAGCCTCAGAAACCCTGTTCAGGGTCGCTGTGGGTCGGCACCGACTCGATGGCGCTTAACAACAACATCTGGATCCCGGAGTCCTGGTGTGGCGCTGTGGGCTAATGCATCAGACTGCAAAGCCGTTTGAACTGCAAGGTCAATGGTTCAAGCTCACCAACTGCTCCTTGGAAACCTTATACAGGATCGCTATGAGTCGGAATCGACTCGACAGCACTTAACAAGAACAACATCTGGATCCTGCGTCATTTGGTCTTTGGATCTAAAGTCACCTTCTCAGTAAAGCCCTCCTGAGACCCAATCGAAGGAGCTCCACTCCACTGTGCGCCTATTACTTGTATTTTCCTGGATTCACACCCTGTATCAGTATCAGTATATGAGATTCTTACTGTTCCACGTTATCATCATTGCTCTTCACTAGCGTGTCAGCTCCAGTGAAGAATGAGATCTGACCTGTTCTGCTCCTGCTGTATCTCTGATACCTAATCTCAGTGCCTGGAACCTAGCGTTGCTGTTAGCTGCCTTGGAGTTGGCCCCAATGCATGGTGACGCCAGGTAGCCCGGGCAGAAACGTTGTGCCATCCTAGGCCATCCGAATGATGCGATGCAGACAGGTTCATTGTGATCCATATGGTTTACACTGCTGATTCAGGAGACTGCCGGGCTTTCCTTTGTAGTTCACCCACTGAAGACTCTTCATCATCACCGCAAGACATAAGCTTCCATTGACAGATGGGCGGAGGCTGCGCTTGCCTAAGGTACATTGAGGTGGGGAATCAAACCCAGGTCTCCTGCATGCAAGGTGAGAATTCTACCCCAGATCCACTGAGCACACAGTGGGGGTTCAGTGACTAACATCACTGGCACACAGTTGGGTTCAAAGACATGTGCCTGATACAGAAAGACAGTGAAGAGGCT